GATGATTTCACCTTTTGGATTAACTGTTTCCTTCTGAGCTGAACAAAGTCTGCATCAGTGGCTGTGACAGTCGTGATTTATTGTGAATGGGTCATTTCACACTGTATTCTGACATCTTTGTGTATATTGTACTGTAAGTGTTCAGATGGACATTGAAGCAGGGATTTTTGTTGTGTATGTGCACATGTTTTGTCTGAAGATGTATGTGTATGTTTTTTTGTTTGCTATGACTTGATGTGATATGACTCATCTTTGTTAAATCACTTTGTAAATTCAGTTCAAGAAAAGGGGTATATAAGTTTATTAACTTTTCCTATGTATTATTTATTATTATAGCAGTGCCCAGGCCTAAAAGCTCTTCATTTCATCTATCGTTGATTGTTCGGCTGGTTTGTGGAATCGTTCTCATTATTCTTCTGCTCCTTTTGTATCGCTACACACCGTCCAAAGGTTAGAACTTCTTCTTCTATTATAATCTAATATATAATATGTTTTATCCTTCAGTTATTCAAACAAACATATACTGCTCTCATAGAATAGCACTATTACAACGTACAATAACAAATGATAATAACAACAAATGTTTTCGTTTTTTTTATTCACAGGTTCATGCTGTATCAGGTTGGTTGATCACTCTCTTCTCTCATTTTGAACATAACAACAATACATTACATGTTCTTATTTAAATGTGTTGTATTTGCTTCATGTTGTAGATCAAACCAGTCTGAGAGCATCAATCAGGACTCAAATCATGCGGTCTACGAGAATGAGTCTCAGCTATACTCCACCCTTCTCCATGGTTAGCATTTAAACTAATCATATATATATTTGTTTATACGCATTCACACCTTTAAAGACTGATAGAAATGTTTAGAGGATGTTTAATTAGTAATATATGTTTAAGAAGATGAATCTGCTCTGTAGGTGATACTTCTCTCTATGAATCAATGAGACGTCCTGAAAGACACTGAGAATTCTTGCAGTAAGTAAATCAGGCTGCCAGTGCACTGAATAAGATGTATCAAAATAAGTCAGGATGTCCAGCTACCAAAAGTCTTAATAATTACTTAAAATAATATATAAACAAAACTTCACACTGGCAATGTCCATACAGAACTTTTACCAACCAGGTTAACACTGATATATATGATCACCTATTTTGTATAAAACACATTCATATCACAGGATGTTTACTTAGTATCATGCAATCAAATTGATTAATCTGAACTTTCCACTGCTCTGTAGGTGATGATTGTATCTATGAATCAATCAAAGGCCCTGAAGATGCTGATAAAGGTACAGTATACAGTGGCAGCCACTGGGAATCAGTGGGTCCACCACTTTGGTCCAGACTGTAATATCTCATCTTGTACAGACTTCATGTCCCACAGATAATGTCTCTGAATTACTTTGCTGATCCCCTTTTTGTCTGATGCTACCATGAAGTTGAATTTTTTTTTAATGAAATGTTTCACTGATATTTGATTGCATTTAATTTGTACATATATTATTGGCCCCCAGAGGATACATCTCAGTGACTTTGGTGACTTTGGTATTTTTAACAGTAATTAGATGGATTCAGATTAAATTTAGTACATACATCCATGATCCCCAGAGGATGAATCCCAATGTGTTTGGTGATCATCTGACTTTTCATCTAACTTCATCATCAGGTCAGACAGAGCACTACCATCAGAAATGTCGACTTGGTACACAGCTTCTCCATAAAAAAGTGCACAACATGTTGAAGCATGGCATCAATACCGTCACCCTGTGGCCCTTAATGAAACTCCACCGTATCTCTTGCGTGTTGTTCAATTTGCACCGACTTTCAGACTTTAGATTCAGATGTGAATCTCCAGCATTCCTTGCTGTGACTCTGAGCTGCCAAGCAAATACACACATTTCCTTCAGGAAATTAACATTTTCTAGTTAACAAATGAGAACAAGTTAACATGTTAAGTATGCTAAGATGTTGACATCGGTATTTCGCCCAAAGTGCCGCTGTACCTGCAGCATCACAGGTCTACTACTCTGAATGACATAGAAGTTAGCCCTTTTTCATTAAGTGTCTGAAGGACTCAAGACTAAAACTTGAAATAATATGTATTTGTCTTAAAACTAATTTCATCCATCCTCAGATCAAGTCTGACTATTTATTATAAATGCTGCACGAGTTAAGGAGACTGATTACGGGTGATTGACATAAAATCCTCTAAAATATGTGTATTTCAAATGCAGTCTAATTCATGGATGCTTCGATTGAACATAAACAACATTTGAAAACAAAGTGAGTAATCCAAATAATAACAATAAATAGAAAATCATTTTGAGATGTTTTAGCCTGAAGTGCCAAAAAGTATTGATTTTTTTCTGATTATCTTAACAGGGAAGCAACATGAACCAGAGGAGAGCTCTGTTTACTCTGATGTCAAGATAGGAACTGCTGTCATGCTCAGAGTTTGTATTGAAATCATCACACAGGATTATGGGTCAGCATGCAGTTCAATTGATGTCAGTCAATGTCAAAAAAGTATAATTTCAGAAATGTTACACACACATATATATGGCCTTTTAGACTTTTGACTATTTTTCATCTCACATATATATCATAAAGCTAAATTGTTTTTGTCTTTTTTATTTTACTCTCACCATACATACTGCAGATTATGAAGAATATTGTATGACTGTGTATTGTACTTCTTTTTTAACATGCTACTTTACAGTTGTGAAAAAACAGAAGAGCAAGAGCATTCCGCTTTTTTTAAATATTTGAGCTTATTTTTTATTGTTTGTATTATGATTTACAATTATGTGTTTTAAGTTTGTATTATTATTATTATTATTATTATTATTATTATTTTAGGTGAATTTGCAGCTTTAAAGTCAACATCTTTTGCATCAATAAACTATATTTCCAGCAGTGAGTTGTCAGTTGTTTTTAATTGCTAAATTTGTTCTCAATCTCAATTAAGCACAACAGAACAAAACACATGCAACAGTTTATTAATTAGATTTCCCTTTGATGCATTTGGTATCTGAAGTGATTGTAGTAACATATGAGGTAAAAAGCCATTTCAAATTACAGATATCTTTAAACCACAAACCAAAGTCTTAAAAATGAAAAATAAAATGTTGTAAAACAATAACACCAGCGATTTATAACATTGCTGTTTCACAAATACAGTAAGTCTTGATATTTGGTCTTTCTTTTAGATTAATGTCTGATAAGATGTTTTAAATTTGCCAAATGAAATGAATAATTTTGCTTCTTTAAAGTTGCAATATGTAAGAATTGGTTAAGCTCAACATTCTGCTGTGTTACTGTTGCTGTCCAAGGTGCTGATCCTGGATCACCAAGGAAGACTGAAGCTGTCCTGGGTGATGATGCCTGTTGTTAGCGCTGATGGGCAGGGTTACAATAAGTGCTGTTTGCTCTGTAGGAATTTTAATTACATAATAACGCAACACGCCTGATAGGAGGAGAGGAGTAGGCTTTGTAACTGTGGCATCCTTTTAAATTTAATGGATGGAAACTGGACGACATGTTAGTAGAAATATGTCCAGAGCTGCAGAGACTAACATGTCGTACTGAATAGAGAGAGAGAGAGAGAGAGAGAGAGAGAGAGAGAGAGAGAGAGAGAGAGAGAACCTGTTTGAATGTATCTACATATATATATAAGACAGAGGGGTGCATGGATAAGAAATCAAGGTGTTTGACCACCAGGGTGCCCAGGTGGTCCTAATGTTATGGCTGATCGGTGTACCTATAAATAAAGATATAACATTTGCAGACATGTTTATACACACAGCACACACCCTCATCAAAATACAGGGCATTGGATGGAACAACAGCTGGAATATACTGCATAACATGCACAAATTAACAATAAAATTCTACTATATGGTGTAATATGATTAAATTCAATGGTCTCATGTTTCATAGTTGTGCAATAATTTATTTTAAAATTATTGAGTGAATGAGGGAAAAGTGAACATTGACAATTTGATATGGTTAAATTCAATATTCTTGTGTTTCATGGATACAATTACATGTCACAATATGCTGCGGTCAAAGCAACTGCACTTTGAGTTTTGTGTAAAGGGGGAAGGAAGAAAGAACAGGCTATATTCAGAAGGAGAAGTTGATGGAAAACTCACATTTATATGAAATGTTACTTCTCTTTCTCTCTCTGCTTTATTATTGCAAAGTAGAAACATTTCTCAGAAGCAGAGCAGCAGAGTGACAGTGTTGGTGCTGGATGTGAAGATGGGGCACACTTTGCTGGGGTTATTCTGTGAGTACATCAGTGACTTTCTGATTTATCAACCTGGTAGTTTTATAGATTTATAAGCATAATCTTGGTTGCTGATTTGGTTTGGTTCAGAGTGGAGGACTGTGTTAGATACTCTACTAGAATAGTTTTTTTTTCATTAGGTTTTACACACATATTGGCACTATGCATGTACTGTATGTGGTCTAAGGCAGTGGTTCTCAACCTTTTTGGTGTCAAGGACAGACAAATTGATACACATCAGGCTCCAGACTTGTATTTAACTGAATGTCTCATTGATCCCCATCAGATAAGATTTAGTTATTCCATAACTGTGTGTACTGTAGATTGGCAGATTAACAGTGAAGAGTGTGAAACCAACAGATGAGTCATTCTTATACAGTCTCTCATTGGCCTAACTTCTAGTTCTAGTTAACACAATAATGGTTATTCCACAGTTTTCTGAGGACGCCCTGTGGAACACCCCAGGTTGAGAGCCACTGGTCTAAGATATTGTTATGTACATAGCTCTGGATTTAACTGTATTGCTATTGTTATTTTATCATTTTCATTTTAAAAAACATTTTATCTTTATTTGTTTGCTACCTCTTTAATAACTCACAGAATATCATCACAGAAATATTTGATACTGTTGATTAACTGAACAATAGTTGGATTTTATATTTCTTTGATTATTGTCTGATGAAGTTTTTATTTTTATTTTAGTGCTGAATACACTCCTCTCTGGACATGCTGAAGGTGACTAATTGTTTCTTTCTGTTTTTAAATACTCACTCACTCACTCTTTTTGGTAGTGACATGGTTTGCTGGCCAGTGTGTTTTTGGTATTACCTGTAGGAGCTGCAAAAGTCATAAATCATCAGATGCTTCACATACAGATTGGTGACAAATGATAAACCAACCTAAAGTGTCTTAGTAAAGTATTTGGGACACAACAAACCTCCATAACAGCTTCAAGACTCATTTGCAAAGATAACATGAGTCTCTAAACTCTCCTCTACCACCAAGTTAAGCAGCAACAATATTACTTATTAATGAGCCATATTTACATCCAGTCATGACATCATGGGGTGCTGCTAACATGGCAGCCCATCACTCCATATCTCTCCCTGTTTGCATCTCCACAAGTGCACAAGTGTGCATTTCAGCCTTGTGTGTGTGTGTGTGTGTGTGTGTGTGTGTGTGTGTGTGTGTGTGTGTGTGTGTGTAAAATAAAAAAGAGTGAAAAGAACTATTTCTCCAATAGGGTTAGGGTATTAACAAAACAGTTCTCTACCTTTGTTACAGGTGTTGATGCAATCCTGGAAATACCTGCATTCAGTTTGTTTAAAGGAGACTCAGTGACTCTGAGCTGTAAGCGTCGTAGTACTCCAAGAAATGAGATGAAAGCTACCTTTTTCAAAGATGGATCACCTCTTCAAATGGACAGATACCATTACTCTCACAACATAGGAAAAATAACCTTTGATCCAGTGTCAGTTTCAGATAGGGGCACTTACAAGTGTCAGTTTGATGATGGGGCAGAATCTGAATCGAGACAACTGAAAGTGGAAGGTATGTAGCTGTCAATGTAATGAAAAAAAGAATAAAAAAAGTTCACAAAATAATCTACGATCAAACATCCACTTATAAGTTTGTCTGAGCTTTCTTTTGCATTTCACTGTCTTCATTCAGTAAAGATTGCTTTTTTTATCTTGCAGTAAATGCTACATAAAGTGTTCATACTTTTCAAAAATTACTAAGGAAATGCGGATCTACAAGTGAATATTTTCTCTGCTCTCATCTAACCAATTAATAACCAATTTCAAGGCAGAGAGAGCTCAGTGCAACTTAATGAAACTGAAGCAAATTAAGAAACACATTCACTCATTGGACACTGGAAACTAAAGATATATGAATACCATTACTACTTGTCAGTGATATTGCAGAACAAGCTAATTTTAGATATTGATTGCATGGTTTTATTCTTGCAGATATTGGATACACCTAGCATCACCTAGCTAGTATCATACGTCTTGTATTTAAATTTAGTTCTGTTTTTATTTTGTTTTAAGCAGTGTATGTGTTGTACAACTGTTCAATGTGTTTGCAATGTCGCTTGTGTCACTTTCGATTTGCATCTGTTTCTTAAGCTGCAGTGTGTTCTCTCATGTAGAATCACACATGTCTGGAGTTTGATTATGTAACAGTGAATTTAAACAATGATGGTTTTATTTGTGTCATGTTGAAATGTAAAGAACATTTTAACAGCATGTTCATTACAGTAACTTTCCTGTTTTAATCTTTTTGTTTTTTTTTCTAAATTAAACAGGACGTAGACGTCAGGTCACACTGACAGCAGATAAGACAATCATACCACTGGGGGGCAGTGTGACACTGACATGCTCTGTGGAGGATCCTGGTGGCCTCAAATATAAATTGTTCAGACAGACGTCAGACACTTTTGGAAAAACTTTTCAGACCATAAACCATGATGACTCACACACCGTTATCTCAGTTGGAGGCAGATACACCTGCAGTGGATGGAGAAGGGAACCAGAAGTCCTCACACCTGAAAGTAATGCAGTCACCATTCAGGAAACTGGTGAGTTTATTAATTTGCTCTGGAATAAAACAACATACATTCTTAATGTTCTTAAACAATGCCTTAGGTGTGGAAGAAAGCCACTGTTAGAAGAAAACGAAGAAGAACAAATAAATGATGTTAGCTCAGTACCATTTGTTGGAATTGGAAAAGGTATTATATTGTTCATCACGGTGAAAATGTAATATCTGTTTGATTTTCTTCAGTTCAGTCAGCCAACTCATGTTTGAAATGTTATATGTATGGCATATTTAGATTTTAGCGTCTAGGTCCGATTTCATCACTCCCCACAGATATGTTACACAGAGATATTGGGGAGTGATGCGCAAACACCTTAACCCCCAGTCGGAGCCTACAGGTGGATGCTGGAGTGGTGTTGGGGCTTACAGCGCAGCAGGCAGCAATAGCTTACAGAGCAGCAGCAGCAATACGGATGCAGGGCAACAGCGGCATTGACAGAGCAGAGGGAGAGCTGGGAAATTGTGCAGTTTAAATAGACCGCCAGATTGGAGGGGAGCGCTTGGTTAGTGATTATGGAATGAGGCATGTCATGTGTGTAATCAGCGCAGCTCGAGTTGACTGCCTGAACTAGCTCACAGGCTTCGCTCCATTTTTTGAACAGACACAATAGAGGAGCGGATGTAGTTTAGTTTTATTTATGAATGTCTGTAAAATATGTAGTTCTGCTGAATGTTTTACAGTGGCTGAGATGACAAATTGTGCTGGAAGGTAAAAAAGTTGATAAAAACTTTAAGTTACATGAACTTTAAATCTTAGTTTTTAATCTAGGATATTTTTTTATGTCAACAGTTCCCAACAGGGCCAGTTTGACCCTTGAACCCAAATGGCCTCAGATATTCAGGGGTGAGACGATCACTCTAAGATGTGAGATCCAGGGAGGTGGAGACACTCAGTGGACGTATGAATGGACAACAACCAGCTCAAACACACAGTCTCCAACACACAGTGAATACAGGACTATCAGTGCTACTGTGTCCCACAGTGGAGACTACAGGTGTAAGGGTAGAAAGGACTCATATTCCTCGACAGAGTGGAGTAATGCCATCAGATTGAATATATCACGTAAGTTGGACTGTTTGTTATTCACACTAAATAAAACAGCAGGAAACATTTCTCCCTCCAACAATAATGAAATCTCTTTCAGGCAGCTCAGTAAGAAATTCTGTTTGTTGTTATTTTTGTGTGTGATAACAGAATAACAGACAGGAAACAGTATACATTGCACTGTTGAATTATATATGATTCCCAGAACTAGAAACACAGTTGTTCTCCAACGGATCAAAAATCACATTGAATCTGTGCTGAACTCAGCAACAGGGCACATTTTCTCACTAACAAGCTGTTAGTGTTAGTTTTTGTTTGGGAAGCATGCACCACTGAAAAACTGCACTAATAATACATTAACAGCACTAAGTTAGCTATTTGTTAACTGTTACTGACAAAGGAAAGTCATGTCATGATTTAGTTATTTAGAATTCTGTTTCTAAGTCTGTTATGAAGTAAAATATTTTTCTGAGGGGAATTCCTTCAGCCATTTACTTGTTTTGTTTTTTTCTCTAAACTGAACAGCGTATAAACCTAAACCCACACTGACAGCACACAAAACCATCATACCAGTAGGGGGCACTGTGACACTGACCTGCTCTGTGAGGGGCTCTGCTAACTGGAAATACTACTGGTTCAAACATGCATCAGACTCTTCTGAAGCTCAGCCCATAAGGGATGTTGTACCAGACAGAGTTATCAGTGTCTCACAAGGAGGTCTCTACCACTGCAGAGGAGGAAGAGGAGATCCACTGTTCTTCACAGAGAACAGCGATAAAGTCAATATTCAGGAAACTGGTGAGTTTAGTTATTTGTTCTGGAATAAAACAATATGTATTATTAAAATCTGTGATGAAGAAAATACTCATTTTGGTACAGTAGGAAAAAATGTAAGTTACTGAACAGGTTGACTGGCAGAAGGGAGATTTGTGGGTTTGTAGTCCCTCTTCCCCGTCACTGAATAATATAATCAGTAATATTGGTTAAAAATATAGAAATATAACATTTCTCTAGATTTACAGGGTTATCGATCACAAATCACAACTTTTGTTTATTCTATTAAGATTTTAAGTTGCATTAACTTTAAATCTTTATGTTAAATAAAAAGGTGCTGACTTGTTCGTAGACGTTTAATTAAAACTGTTTGTTAAATTTTCAGAAACCAGCCAACATGATAAAATAGACATTAAACACAACACTTACAGCAAAATGTTTTTCCATATTCCTGGGGTCAGTAAATGCATCCTGTGGAAGGATACCAGTATTTTGGTACTATTAACACTGCTTTGCACTACTATTACTACTGACCTTTGAGTATTTTCTTTTAAATAATTGATAACATTATAGCTGTTTAGTTGTATTTGTATAAGTTTTTTAAATTTGCTGCAGAATACAACAACATGCATTCATGTAATTACCATTAGGATTATAGAGGAAAACAATTATCTTTTGCTTGTTTAGTTTTTAATCCTGTTTGTTTCCAACTGGACATTTTTTTACGTCAACAGTTCCCAACAGGGCCATTTTGACCCTTGAACCCAACTGGCCTCAGATATTCAGTGGTGAGACGATCACTTTCAGATGTGAGATCGGGCGAGGTGGAGACACTCAGTGGACGTATGAATGGAGAACATCCAGCTCAAACACAAAGTCTACAACACACAGTGAATACAGGATTAGTGCTCAGTGGTCCCACAGTGGAAAAAAAAGGGGAAGGGGAAGAGAGGAAAAAAACTCAACAAAAAAGGGGAAAAAAACAAAAAATTTTTTTTTAATAAGTTTTTAATATTTTTTTTCACACTGAAAATCTGTTTTTATTTTGTCATTTATCTAAATAAAACAACATTTCTCCAACAATAATAAAGTACTTACAGGTAGCTCAGTAAGAAATTATGTTTGCTTTTAGCGTGGAAAGAAAATAACTTAAAAGTATAGAAAAGTGCAGAAATATGCAAGAATAAATAAAAAATATATAAAATAATATTCAAGTAACTTATAGGGTGGAATGATGGTGCAGTTTAACACTGTTCCCCCACAGGAAGAAGGTTCAGGGTGTGAAGCTAACTTTTGGGCAATGGGTTGAGTTAACTCACAGGTTAGTTTGGATTAATGACCTCATTGGCTAATGTACATTGCCTGTAGGTGTTAGTGTGAATGGTTGTCTGTATTATGTGTTAACACTTGATAGACTGATTCAGTGTGAAGTTGGACAGGATCAAGCTCCCTGTGACCCTGCAAAGGATAGATCACTGAGAAGTAGATAGCATGTATTTTACAGTTGTATAAAGTAATGAAAAGCCACAGTGAAAATGTTCAGCTTGGCTCTTCAAACCTCAAACGCAGGTTTCTGCCTTCACAAATGTAGTTTTCAGTGGAGTGACAAAGTAATATGCAACTTAGTACATTTTATTTATTTATTTTATGGATTCTTCTGATTGCAACACATGCTTCATCCTCACAATATAATCATAAAATGAAAAGATGACACAGTGATTGATTATTTTATTCACACAGATCCCAAATGCTGGCAGTGTCACTTGCTGACAAATTTGCTGTTTCAAAATGGGGAAAATATCTCATATTTCTAAATACAGCTTGGTTTTTGTAAATTTGGTGAACTGTGCTCCTGGATAGTTACAGTAGAGATACAGAAACACAGCAACAGAGCTCATTTGCCAGAATTAAACAATGTGTATAAATTTTGGTGTGAACCAGTGTATAAAGTAAATTCAATGTTAATATTAAAAATATCATTCATAAGTTAAAGTCTCAAATTCAACTATTTTGTGCCTGTGGGAGTTAATCACATCACATTTCTTACAAAGTGATTATCATACAGTCAATTAAAAGGCTGTTGCATTCACATCTATTTTTAAAGTAAATCTTGATGTTTGTTTGTACTGAT